CAACATGAACTTCGTTATTTTGCTGATGGCTGACCGTGGCCGCGCACCTTCTGTGGCGGTGCGTATCGGCCGAGTCTCCGTCTGCTAAGCTGAAACGGCTGGTTAAGTTCATCGCGGCCCATTACGTCCCAGTCTGGTTCACGGTGCGCCGGAACAGCGGCTGCACCTCCGGCGCCAAGACCCTGTCCCGCAACGTCGAGCTGCTTCTCCTGCAGCCGCCGAACATCTAGACCATCGTCTGGCCGGTGCTGTAGAGGAACGGCTACTGGGCCCTCTCCGAGCAGCTGCTGCGCGCCATGGCCTTCGGCGACAGCCGGCAGGCACGACAGAAGGCGGTCCGTCTCATTCGTGCCGCGCGTCTGCGGGGGACGCAGGCGGACAGGAGCTTCAAACGTCCTGTAGCCAGTTTCTCAAACAAAAATGCTACTGATGTCAACTTCGGAGCTGACGAGTACGCGGACGTCATCGGCTGGAGCTCACTAGAGGTGACCGAACCACCGCTGCTGCGAGACCTCAGCAATGAGGACCTGCAGAAGATCGTCAAGGTCCCAGCCGCCCTCCCGCCGTATTCGGTACACACTCAGGCTGTGGAGAAGGCCACCAAGACGCTGACGGAGGCCTGCTCGTCGGTTCTGGGCGAGGAGTCGAGGCACGGCCTCATCACAGCGAAACACCGGCACATCCTCCCAGCCTCCAACTCGGAGCAAGGCCTTTGCCCCTCTGACGCGTGGTACCGCTACTGACATTTGATACAACCTACATTGCAAGTTTCAAGTTCGCTTTAGCATATCCAAATAACCACATTAGCACTAAGCAGTATGCATGTATTGCAACTTATGCCATTTCATTTATTCGCGGGCTATGAAAGTGTATTAAGATTGATCTAATGAGATTGTCTCCATTTTTACACATTTTACCAGATCCTCAAACTTCTCCCGGGACGTCAGAAGTCTTTTATCAGCGCGCGGATGCAGTCCTGCCTCGAAACCTATCTCATTACGGTCCATGTCCTGGTTGTGTTTCATCACAACACCTTTCTAAAAACAAGTCGTTCATCCAACGAAGACCTGACCTCGTACCTGAGTTTCCACAAAGCCCCCCTAGTCCACATCGACCGGGGTGACTGCGGCCCATGGAGGAGTGGAAGCGACCCGACTGGCCTGCTCCACGCCACAACCTTGCCCGTTCCGTCAATAACACCTGTCTTCCGTCTGCTAATGCCCAGCTCAGCTGAACTGGCGCCAGGGGTGCCGTAGTTTGGACTTAAATCAATATACGAGTTTTTGTGTTTGTAAATCCGATTAAGAAGCGCTGAATACAGATGAAGCATGCAGTTTTATGTTATTTCTCATCTATAACCAACAGCCTAGCCTAAGACATGGCTTTATGATTGTTTGCGGCCCTTATCAGAGTCATAAAACATGGAAGCTCACTTCAGGAATACGGGCGATATGGGTGGCGCTGCTACCAACAGGCCACAAAATCGGTTCTTTAGAAACTTGGCTCTCGCTCAACTATTTTTGATTGATTTTCGATTTGATATCGTTGATCTTTGCTCCGAAAGTTCCCGGATTTGTTGTTCTTTATTGTCAGCGCCACTTTTCATCATATTCCAATGCAATTGTGTGATTGACGACAAACCCTACTAACCATGCAACACTATTTTATTCAGATCCCACATGTGTCTCAGTAAACCACTTGTATGCATAACGTGCTACACTCACGTCATTTCTGCTCCGCATAACTACGAATATTTACGCGCCTGTTAACACAACTCAGAATGCTCCACACCTTATTCAACTACCCAGGAAACGCAGGGGTTTCGCACGCAGTACTCTATGTTCCTGCGTGCTTTTGACCACTGCCTACCACTCGGGTAGAAATTGGTCTTTAGTATAGATGTTAAAATGCTATTGCGGTACAAAAGCAACATATTTCACGCATAAGGCACTTATTACACCTAATTTGCAACAACAAAAACTATTTTGTTCTTAATGAGCATAATCGACGATCGTAAAAATCAAAAGATGTTTGTTTGCGGTACGATAGCATTTGGCACTTCTGATTAGCAATAGCTGATTTTAAGTCTAAAAAGTCGTCGCCAGTGAAATTTGCGTCGGGTGTCAGGACCATGCATAAAACTCGGTAAGCGGAGAATTTTTTTTGGTTGGAGTTATTTATTTTTGGCAAAGAGCAGTGATATTCTTTTTTTATTAAACTGGCCTCCGGTCGTAGCATAATTTCCTCGAGTGGAAGATTCCTGCAGCTAAAGAAAAAGACGTAGATATACTGAGATCATACGGTGTCGAAATGATCTCAGAACTCTTGGTAGAATTATTCGTAGTGAGTGTGAAAAACGCATTTCTGAAGGTATCAAGTCTAACCCAAAAGTCTTCTGGCGGTGCTCCGCATGCCTCTCGAGTGCGGCAGCCTACCTGAAGACTGGAAACCGGCCTCGACAGCGCCTATCCACAAGAAGGGAGACAAGCAGTTTCCCAGGTAATTATCGACCCTTCAGCTTAACCGCGATACCCTGCAAGCTTCTGAAATCCATCATCAGAGACCAGCTAATGACATACTTGAACCCATCCGGCCAGCCATCGAACCACCAGCATGAATTCCGCCCGATGAGGTCGTGTAGCAGTCAACTTCTGGATGTCCTCGAGGATGGCAGCAAGCTGATTGACCAAGTTAAAGCAATTGACACAGTGCATCTGAATTTTCGAGGGGCTTTCGATTCCGTGCCGCACGCACGCCTACTTAGCAAACCGCACGCCTTTGGCATGTGCGACAAATTGCTACAGCGGACCATAGCTTTTCTGACTGGCCTGCAGCAAAGGGTGGTGTCGGGGCGCTTGCTCGAAATGGTCACCCTGTCGTCAGTGGCGTCCCTCAAGGTTCCGTCCTGGAACAACCCCTGCTCGTCATTTACATAAACGACATGTCTGATATGGTGACCTCCTCAATCAGAACCTTGGCAGATGAGACCAAAGTATACCGCAGTGTGACTTGGCCTGGCAGGTTCGAGGAGCTCCAGTGAGACCTTGGCGCTGGCATCGAGTGGTCTGATGGCAACTCCCACTTAACGAATCTCTGGGCCCACAAAGTGTACCGCATCCCAAGCCGAGACCAGGCTTAGTTAGTAACCACAAGATGCCGGCCAGAACGGGACTTTCAGGCTTTTGCCTTGTGCAGGTTGATAAACTGGGCTAAAGCCGAAAGTACGTGGTTCCAACTTAAAGGAGCATATGAAGTCAACATAAAGTGTTGGCGTGTTTATGCATATATGGCAGCAACAACATGATTTTCTGTTTTGAAGCTTTACGCCTGGAGTGTAACTTTTACAGCATTTTATTGTCCCAGCTGCTCATTCTTATTTCTTCACCTGAAAGGGGTAAATAATAAACAGACATAATTAAGCACCAGCACACCATTAGCTCCAAAAGAACAATTATCAAAAATGCATTGTATCCCTTCATTGTTTTCATGTTTTTCTACATTTTCCATCGCCCTCTCACTGATACATACCATGTTTTCACAAAGGCTCATCCCAAAATGGCCCTATTGCAGCTGCAGTTTCCACCAATGACACGTAAGCATCTACCTGTCCAAGCCAAAACATGATGCACTTTAATGCTTGCTCAAACTTTAACACTTGCTCAAATCAAATAATGCCGGACCGTACTTTTTCAAAATTGCTGTACTGCTTGACTATCAGCGTGCTTCGTGTCTTCGACCACGGAGCTCAATTCCTTTCTTGCTTACAACAAGAGCAAATTTTGTGTACCTGCGTCTGTTATTAAATAAGGGGAGCACGTGTCGGCATTTTCCAGAACAGTGAGAAATGGCCTGTGGTGGTCTGAAATGTTAACCGCATAATTTGGACTCGAAAATAAATCACTTTAATTTGCGTATATTCCAGTGGTGTTGCAGCTCCGCTCACCAATGTTATCAATGTCAATGACAGATCCTACGAGATAAACAGAGGATACTTTTGAGATGCTGTCCAGAGGTACCTGTCACGGAGTATTCTAAACGGCGTGGCTTCCCGGAGAGCCGCAGTTCGCTTTTCAGGAACGTATAATCCGACACCGCTCCTCTCCGTCCTGTTCCAGTTATGATTCTGGCGGCTTGCTGACCGGCTCATGACAGACTGCCAGGCAGCTGATGACTTTCTGACCCCCCTACTAGAAATACTCCACATTTGAACATATTAATGCAAGCATCCGATATGATGAAATGAGCTCACATCGCCATCGGCATACTGTTGAGTGGAACTACTGTAGATAACACAACTTCTCTGTTGAGCAAATATGCTTCTCAATGCGTCACAGTCTGATTGTGTCATCGTACCTTGCACGACATCGATAGAGAGCCAGTTGACAACCGTTATTTTTGGGAATCGTGCTCAGGAACGTCAAATATGAACGGCCCGACAGATCGATTTTCTCGGCCTTGATCGCCACATGCCAATGGAATGGCAGGGCTTAAATGACGCCACCAGGGCGTCATGGATGCCTGGGTGACTTGAAATAATCTCCCCGAAAAAGTCTGCGCGTCTTCGCGGCATAGTGTAGCTCAGAAACTAGGGGGGTTAAGGTAGCTAAGAAGCGCAGGGTTGTAAACTGCATCGAATGATCTTCGAGATGGCTATTTCAGTTCAAAACCGCATGCAAATATGGAGCACTCCCTCTAAGTTCTTGCAGGGTGAGAGCCACCACCAGCCGCTCGGAAAGCCACATTTCTGGCCAATGCTTTGGTGGTGCTTCGGGGGAAACGGGCGCTCGGATAGCTACCAGACTTCAGCTTATGTTGTTTTCCCTCGCGGCGCTGAGTAAGGCGCATGCCAGCCTCGACTTGCCTCCAACTTGCATTCTTCCCTGCTCGGCCATGACCTGCGCGCGCTGCTCCCCTCCCCGTCCCCCACCGGCGAGGCCGATGGCCCGCCGCCCCGCTGTTGTGGCGGCCAGTCTCCCCTCGCCGCCCGTCGGGTGTCCACCATGGCGTCCGTCAGCCGGTGCGCGCGCCAGGTGCAGCGGCTGGTCGGCGCGGCGTACCGTCGGCTGGCCAGCACGGTAACCGCACCCGGGCCCGGCCGCGACCCGTGCGTGCCGCCCGTCAACCGGCCCGACCTGCCCAGTCTGGCTCGGACCGGCCGGCACGCCTACAGCGCGCTGCCCGCAGGTACGCATGCTCAGGGGACGGGACAAACACGGGATGGCGACCACGAGCATCGGTTTTCTGGTTTCAGAGTGAAAAGCCCTTTGTGCAAATGCTCCTTGGTGTAGTTAAGTTTGCAATTGTATATATATATATATATATATATATATATATATATATATGTATATGTTTGTGTGTATATGTTATATATGTGTATATTATGTGTGTATACATATTATGTGTACATTATGTGTGTATACACATTATGTGTACATTATGTGTGTGTATATATGTGTATATATATGTGTATGTGTTATATATATATATATATATATATATATATATGTATATATAAAGAAAACGGAAAACGGGACCTGGACCACCAATGAACTATTCAATTCTAATGTAGGCAGGTAGCGTTCGCCTGAAGTGCTTGTACGTAAATGATGTAAAGACGCAACAAATTCCTATAAGGCATGATGATCGAGTGGCCTACGTGTCGAACTCTCGCGTGGGAGGCCCGGTTCGAATACCGGTTGCGCAGTGGTCCCTTAGCGCTTGTATGACCAACGCAAACGCTAAGCACTACTTAGAAAATAATAAGAGAGAGAGAGAGAGAGAGAGAGAGAGATGTATATACATATATATATATATATATATATATATATATATATATATATATATATATATAAGCATAACATGTTCCAGAAATATTGGGTTGGGGGTAACACACGCGAAAAATGTTAAATGCTACTCAGCTGTGGTAGAATGTGCCTGCTTAAAAATAAAACACTCGCAGCGCATCCCGGCAGTGGTCGAATATGGTTGGTTTTTATTTGGACCATTTGATTTTAACATGGACGGTAATGCTTTATAAAGCCAACTATGCAGAGCCCTCAAACCCATTTTCACACTTTCACCTAGATGTGCCTGCCTATACACCAGTATAGGTACGCTTAGTACTGCTAGCAGCTGGTAATCTGGTCCCATGCATCACGACGTCAGGAAGCACGAGAGGTTCCCGGCAGGTGAAAACTTGCATGATCTGACGGGTCTCAGCAGTAAGCAAAACCTTATTCGCAGCTGCTCGTCCACGTATCTGATCAATCTTGGCATGCACCTGGCGGTGCTGCTCCACCTGGTGCGTTGGACAGTGCTTGACATATTGTGAGATGGTCTGACTATTTCAACTGATCTTCTGTTTTACCATAAGCACCGTTGATCATGGTTGGAAAGGCAAAATGTCTAATCGGGATGCCCTGCCGGGGGGGGGGGGGGGGGGGCGAGGGGGGGGTAAGTTATTGATTGCACGAAGCACCAATCGTTTCATTCGGCATCCTTGCCCTTTACTTTCAGTCCTGGAAAAATGAGGCCAACCATCTCGTACAACCGGAGCGAAATCCCACGCTAAACGTATTCTGCATTGCTGTTGTATTATCAATAAGGTCAAATATCTTCTTGAAATCCAACTAATTCCACGGAAAACAGTGTACTTGGCCTATCCAACTCAAAGAGTAAGTTGTGCAGCAATCTTATCAAGTAGTGGGACGTTCAAAGCATTTTTTTATATTACTGTACTTACGTTCATGCATGGATTTACGTATCCCACAATAAGAGGAACAACCAACTGTTCCAAAACTTTGCTTAGCGTAGGTGTAAGGCTCGGAGGCCACAGGGTTTGGGTCTTCGGGCGAGTTCGGTGTCATTGCCTTTTTACTTGGAAGGATGGTTTATTTCTCCCAAACCGATTGGACCACCTAAGCCTCCTTAAGAGGAGTGCCCCACCTTTGGGACACATTTCAGTACATAATCAAGGGAAATATCAGAATCAGCTATGTCTGATGATAACACTGGGTAGTGCCGCTGCGGCACCGTCAAAGACATGATAAGGATATCAATTTCAATTATTTTCGAGTCTTCATCACGCTGTCAACACTTTGGAACAGCACTACCCTTCTTCCCTGCATTTGGCGGTTATCGTGACTACCACCGTCGTCAGGCCAACCACCGTGTGTACCTCCACTGGTGCGAATGGAAGAACGCTTTTGGTTGGCCCAGCGGGCAATGGCTTGCAACCGAAAAGCACACAGGTTGAAATTTGAACTAGTGCGCCACATGGGTCAGATGCTCCCACTCCTAAAGCTGAAGTGCGCCGCGAAAAGAGCCACTGTGTTAAACTCCATAGGAATCAATCGAAGCTATTGTCAGAGAAACCAAAGCCGTAGTATACAATTTCGCTGAATTCGTGGGATAGAAGCTTCATGTGCGGGTATCTTTTTGTATAAGCACATGTGTATAAGGCTTTCGTAACACGATGAAAAACATGTTGACGTATAAGTGTGTTGCAAACATTGCACAACACGCACGTCAGAAAAGCAAGGTTAGTGAAATGCATTACCTTCATTGTGATGAGCAGGGAGTCAATTAAGATTTCCCCCCGCCGGGTCGGCTACTTTAAATCGAAATTCTGAACCATACGGAAGGGTTTCGAGAAAGGCGGTACTTCTGATCGATTGTACGCGTCTCATTTAACCATATGCGAAAAGTTCATAAAAGGTGGCCTTTAAGAGAACCAGAAGATATAGTCATCAGCGGCGGTGGTGGAGTGCGGTGGTGGAGTGCGGCATGAACTGGCGGCGTGACCCTCACAGCCAGGTCCCGCCGCCAATGCATGCCGCTTCAAAACTCGGCACTAGTTAAAGCCACAGCAGCAGTAGTACCATAACGGACAACGAAGGACCACACCTCAAGCCAGCGATCGTAGCACGCTCCTCCCGCTGTTTCAGGAGCACCCCAGCGGATCTGGCGCGCGGAGCGGGTGGTCGACAACCGCGACAGCGGCAACGTCGTCCTGACCTGGGACTGCGGCGAGGTCGCCCAGTTTCCTTACGTGTGGCTGCGGGACAGCTGTCTTTGCCTCGATTGCTACCACCCCAGCGCGCTCAGTCGCAAGCTGCGCATCGACCAGCTGGACGTCAACATCGCTCCGCTCTCTGTGCAGGTGCGGTGAAGGGGGTGCGGCAGACAGGCCCTACCGGGAGGGACTGAACGGCCGATAAAGCCTGTTGATATACCCAAGCTCCGAGCGTATGGAACCGATGGACACCAGACGTTCATCATCTGATGGCGCTTGGTCTATACATTTCCTTTTTAAAAGATGGTGATCTTGGATTGGGTCAAAGGTCGCAACAAATTTCAAACTAACAAGAAATCGGTTGGCGACCAGCCTCATGATCCGGGTCTATGGAACTGATCATCACAAACCTTCACCAGTTGATGCGCTATGGTCGAGGCCTCATTGTTTTCAGAACATCGTGACAATTGGTCCGGTGAAATGCCATCAAAACGCCCGAGCCAATCAAAATAACTTGAGACAACGGGAGACGTCGGAGAATGTTTTTGGACTGCATTTTGGCGGCTGGAAAATGTGCCGGGTGGTCGCACAATAATGGCGTCTTGCCCCTGGTGCCAAACACCATAAGGTCTGTTTACATAGACACTTTAAAGTGCGTAGGACGCACGTTAAAGAGCAGGTGACGTCATGTGAAGCATTTCGACGTTATGAATAACAGTTTGACGTGCAATACAAACCCAGTGGTGCTCAGATTGGGATTCAAGACAGCTACCTCGTCCCACTATAAACCTGCCAAGGGCACCCAAGCCCATCCAAGTTATCTACAATTTTCAGAAAACAAGGAAGCTGGAAAGGATGAATCACCGCCCATTTTCTACAAAGATGAGAGCATGAGTTGCCTGCTAAGCATTCAAACATACACCCAAAATTCCTCGGGGGTCATCGTTCCCATACAAATGCCTAACAGCAGCTGCCGCTGTCGAAAAATGTGGCGCATCCAGGAAAGGTGTGATGCATTTGGTTGCTCGTTTTATACGCTTGTACTTAGTACGCAACACCCTTGAGCGTAAAAAAACGCCTGTGTGGGCAGAGCATAAGAGCTCAATGGAAAATAGATCGGGGATTTATAGCGGACTTAGTGTATATGCTATCTTAAGGATCCAGAAGGCTGGTGATACGGTCGCATAACCTGAAGGTACTTTACTATACAAAATCCTGTTAAACGCTCGTCCGGGTGGCCGGTCGAATATACTTTACTCGGGCAGGGGGCGGTTTGACCCCGCCTGAAATCCCCAAAACTAAGACAGTTACATGCACACAATTCATGGGGTGAGTTGGCTTGTATGTGAACTTATTTGTATCAAAATTCAGGTTCCTAGGTTCACTGGCCTTCTAACCAAAAAGGTCAAACTTCAGACCGGTGTCCAAAAAGCCCCAGACCTCATCATGCAACCGCCTTGAACTTAGATATCTGTTTAAAGTAAAAGGTCACTAGTCTTAAGTTGAGGTCAGTGACCTTGCTTTCCTTCGGTTGATAATGATTGAAACCCTACCGACTTGTTTGCACTTGAATAAGTGTCAAGGATTAAGCTAGGCGGCATGTTCCTAAAAACGAAATGTTGGCCCAGTTTAATTTTGATCAGTCACCTGTTCTGATGTTTGGAAGCTTCTCGAAAGATGACTGTTGCGGACCTGTTGTTAATACGGTCGAAATTAGTTTCCCGGGTCTCAACTTATGTCATGCGCTGGGTTCACAGATGATCAAAGCTCACATGCCACTCTATTATACGAAAACCACATACCCGTCTGGTGACCTGCCACACTCTCCCGACCCCGTTTCTCGCGCGGGCCGACCTCGCCACAGGTCACGCCGCGCTGACCTCACCCGGATCCACCAATCATCACGCTGCCCGTATTCACGTGACAGCTGGGTTCCAACCAATTAGGGGCCTGCTCCAGCCAAGCCGGGGCCAACTTGCAGGACAAGGCAGCGACGGGCGTTAGTTAAGCCAACCCTAAGAAATCCCAATATGAACATCCAACGCCAGCACCAGAAACTGCCCCTCACAGCAGGATGCCCGATAAAAAGCGGGTTAGTTTGACCTCTGTCTGACCTTTATACCGGACCCAAGGTCAATGGAATTTGTTGTAATCCTAAATTTAATTGCTTCATTGCGTGAAAAGCTATCTCAGAGATGTATAGCTTCGTTTAACACTCCGTTGTCGCATCATATTGAAAAATTCTCTAAAAATGCCCTCGCTGACAGGCATCGGGTGGCTTTGACCTGCTTTAGGTCAGGAGCCTTGCCTGGTGCATCTATATTTCATACCAAAGGGTTCGCTTTTCAATTCCCTGTAGCTATGCAAAATTTGGCGAGGCTACGCTGCGCAGTTAGAAAATTATTTTCTAAAAACCTTGAGGGGCAAATTGACCCCCCCCCTCTGGGTACGTATGTACTGCACTGTAAGTGCTGGATCAAGAGCGATGACAACTGTAACTTGCCAGTTCCAACCTTCCTCTGGTTGTGTTGTTGCAGAACGATCTAGAAGCTCAGGAGGTGGTCGTCACCTGGCCGGACGGCCACGTCTCCCGCTTTCCGCACGACTGGTTGGGCCAGCGCCAGTTCACGCCGCAGCAGCTGGAGGAGCGCAAGAAGCAGGCCACACCCATGGTCAGCGTTGTCCTGGCGCCCTGGAAGAGATCCTCGGGAAAGGAAGAAGAAAGCACGGGACGAGCGTTGTCGGAGATGTTATGACTGCGTGTGGCGAGAGAGTGGCATTGTTTGAGAGACTGTGGCACATTGTGATGTCATCCTGTGAATATGTTTGACATCATGACATGTGCTTCTGTGAATATGTTTGACAGCACTGACATGTGGTTCTGTGAATGTGCTTGAGCTGTTAACATGGGTATGGCGACACATCGTGGCTGTTTGCAAAAATTCCAGTTTGGGTGCTTGGCAAGATCAGGCGACGACGCATAGTGTGTTGATATGAATGTGCGTGACTCTAATTTCCATTCACTTGTGTCGATGATGCATTTGTGTGCGACAGATTATTCTTGCGGGTGATGCTAACTGAGACTTGACATGGCGGGATATTCTGACTGCTTGTGGTGGGAGTTAGCGCCAGGTGAGGCTTTCCGGCCGCTTGCAACCAGACCATGTGGCTGTATGGCGAGGTAACGTTACCTCGATTGGGGAGGGCGTCTTCCTCTGTTTTGCAAAGCAGTGTGACTATGTGTGTCCAGAGAAGCTGGCTATGCGTCAAGGCAGTATGGTCGAAGCGGCATGGTGCAGGGGTGTGACTGTATCAGGCTAAAGCATGTGCGTGTTTTCGGCGAGCGATGGTGGCCTCGCGTGAGGTTGTGTGTTACGAGCATTCTGGGTTGTGTGTGTGTGCAACACATTGGTGGGGAGTGCCTGCAGCTGTGTGTAAATTTTGGTGGCGTGCTCAGTGGTTGATGCTTTGCATAGTGCAGGAATACGCACGTCTTGCCGCGCTTCAAAGGATGCGAAATGGTGTCTGCAACTGGACCCGGTTTTCCACAGTCTTTCACGGCATATGTGAAGCGGTGGAGTGATTCAGTAAGACATACTTCCCTATATCACAGAAGGGCTGATAGAAAACACCTGTCTTCTGGAAAGACACAGCCTCGCGCGAAATCAATACTCAAAAGTCAAATACCAACCATGCTCCACGCTCGCTCCACTAGCTGCTGTGCGCAGGAAGGACGCGTTCACGAACAAGACAGCAGCCCGCCGGCGCCTGCCGGCTGCCAGCGCTCTCAGAAGAGCGGACCTGCACCAATCGTCGCCCGTCGCATTGCAGACGGTGCTGTGGAACCGAGCCACCATGGAGTCCAGCCTGCTCAAGGTCGACTACCAGGACCTGCTCGGAGACCTGGGGGTGTTGCGGGAGGCGCTCCATCGGCTCATCTCCCACGGCCTGGTGGTGGTGCGCAACAGCCCGACCCGGTTCGGCGTGGTAGAGAAGATTGCCTCACACGTCGGCCTCATCAAGGTGACGCACTACGGGTGAGCCGTCCATGCCAGGGGTACTTGCGATGGGTAGGAGCGTGACATCACTAGGACGCTCCACAGCTGAGACGGTCACCCCAGAATGGCACACTATGGCTGAGGGGGTCACACCGGGATGGCGCACTACGGGTGAGGGGGTCACACCGGGGTGGCGCACTACGGGTGAGGGGGTCACACCGGGGTGGCGTACTACGGGTGAGACGGCCACATCAGGATTACAGGATGACCAGGATGACTGATGACCTTTTTCAATGGGTTCAACCGCTGCGAAAGCACACGTTCGACTCTGTGTTAGTGCATTTGACACTGGAGTAAGAGTTTTCTGATTCCAGTGTCGAATTATACTGGCGTGTGAGATGGCACTGACACTGTCTGTGCCAATTATTGTGACATTGATGGAAGTCAGACTACCCAGAAAAACAGCGTCAAGAGAAAAGATACCATAAATGTCGCTGTACCGTTACCAAATATTTGTATTTCGGACATGTGAAGCGCTGGCATTGGTCGGGAATCATTTTTCTATCTGTGCAGTAAGTAAACGAATACCACTTTCATGATAGTTCGGGGTTAAAAACCCAGATTTAGACGTCGTTCTCGAAATCGGTTTATTTAGCGCTAATGAGACATGATCGAAGCTGGTAACTAGCTACATTCACATTTTGGTTCCATCCTTGTTTTTGGGTGGTATCTGGCTCTGTCTAACACTATGCGGTTATAGCCGAGCCACCGACGGCCGGATGCTTTGATGCTGTTCCCGCACTAATAATCTGTCGGAGCTTAAACGACTTCTGTTGACCCTTTCACCTGCCGATGCCCGCGAGGTGTTGAGATGGAAAGCTGTCTTCCATCTCATTTAAAGAATAACTTTTGAACCGTGTCAGATAGATTTACCACATCCTCAGAACCCCACATGTAGCTAAATTGTGATATTCTGGGTGAAAACCTTTGTTGATGGTGAACTTACGCCACTTGTTATAAAGACATCGACGTAGGTTTGCTGGGCTATTTTGCCTTTTCGTGCGATACCAACGAGTTACCTTTCCTGTTTTTGACATCTGTAATGTATCGAGTGCATTTTTCCCCATTCGGGCCGCGGAGGAGCGCATTGAGCAGCCGCTTTGCATGTAGGTGATGCTGTTCACAGATCTGGCAATCATTATAGATGTGAACCTTACAAGGGGCATCAGAGATATCACATTCTCAGTGCTTGTCATATGAACAATATCATCTACCGGCCCAGCGATTGTACCCTGTCGTCCTTCACAACTGGAGTATGGAGGAAAAATAGTACACGATATATGAAATTTCCGGCTATTAATCCCATATACATGTAATACCACGAGATCGGAAATGGCCGCGCGCAGAGCGTGCAGTCGGTAACGAAGGACATTGTGCATCGCGTTAAACTAAGCCCACACATGGAAGCGGGTGGGATATTCTTTGACGATAACATATAAGGACGTTAGCAACTCAAGCGTGGATTTTGTCTGATCCGCGTGTGCGTTTCACAAGAAAGCCTTCGGTTTGGGTTGCCCGCAATTCGCCCGCCTCATCTTGGTTTGACCAGCTGGCCTGCGAGTCTATACAATTTCATAGCCGATGCCTCTCTTTTGCTTTGCATACGTCTGCTAGTAACTTTACACATACGGCGCTGGTGTAGTGGTATTAGATATATGTAATAAATCCGATTATTTCATATAATTCATTGCCTGGTGTGACTGCCTGGCAGTGATGCTCAGTCCTGTTATACCAGGTCACACCAGGTTCACACCAGAACCCCAGCCAGGTCAGCTTATAAGCATCATTCCCAAATGATTTCCCACTCGCTTATGTGATAAAGCAGAAGGCATAGGTAACACATCTCAAACCAACAAGTTATGCATGTTATGCGAACTCCAAGAGCAAAGAAAATAATGTCCGACTACGTGTTCTGACCTTGGCCCGACATATCACTGGCCTTGACCGTTGTCAACATCATGGCATGATTCCGAAACCAAAGAGCACGCTCTTCCGCTTCGTGCCGGCTCCGAGGCGAGACACGAGGCACGCACGCGATTATGGCGGGTGCTAGAGGACACTGAAGTTATTCCGTTGTAACGGTGCCTTTTAAGGCGTTTTATGTCGCTCGTAACGCCATCAGTCACGTTACGGATGTTGACCTCACCGTCGAGGGGTGACACTTACCAGGAATATTCATTTCTTTTGAACTGTTCCGGCGCGATGATCTGACCGCTAGTTAAGGCAGCTTTGCAACTGGGTGCGCGTGCCGTTGTACCAATGTGCAATTTGTTGTCATCATCTGAAACTTCCTTTGGTGATGATGGCTTTGATGATGATGGCTTTTCGACTTTTTAAGCCAGATGTGCTTTTTTTAGCTGTTGAGTGCTCCTTGATTTTTTCGAGATCTTGAAACAAGTTGTCAAATGTAGGGAATGTATGGTTTGGTCGTGTTTAACCTCCACAAGTAATTGATCACATCGTATAACTCTCCAGCCAGCGGCTTTGTTATAACCCAGGTTGGTGGCATTCTTCAGTACTTGCAAAAAGCTGTTAGTTTGATCCGTGAAATTTTTTACCTTCAGAAGCGCATGAGCGACCACACTACCTGTTCATTGCGTTGCCCCTTGCCATTTTGTAGCAGATGTGTATAATACGGCACCTGGTGGCCTGTTCAATTTCTGCACTTGCTACCACAGCCGTGCCATTGTTGGTGGATCCCCGCTGCCACACTATTCTATATATTCAAGTGATTTAAATCGGCTTCAGGGGAGTACTGCATTCGTGCTCCTTTTATAAATAATACAGGCGACGTGCCCAATTTTTGGGTATGGGAAAATAGTTGTTTTTGAGAGTTTACAGCTGAGCTCTTTTTTACCTCTCAGGACAACGTTCAAAGTCACAAACAAGGTGGACGCCAACAACCTGGCCTACACCAACGAGACTCTGGCGCCGCACACGGACCAGCCCTACTACGAACACACCCCCGGGGTGAGTATTACGAACACACCCCCGGGGTGAGTGCACCATTGGTAAAGCATGCAACAATATTTCCTTCATCAACACTTTTTGTGGGTAGTATTTGTGTCTTTATTTGAGGAAGCGTATACGTGATAATTTGGCACTTTTACTTTCAGGAGAATATGGATGGCAAATGGATGGAATTTGAGTGATGTAAAATGTCCACAATTACCAGTATTTCGCTTCACGTGTCAAACCATGTAACCGATGACAAACGGCACGCCCGCCTCTGTGTCGGGGTCATTGGACATTACCACAGGGCATTTTTCATTTGCTTGTCAATTCCCACTGCGCTGCGTGAAACGACATAAACGCTTACATTATCAGTATCATTTCACACTATCAAAAAACATTGACAGGTTCGATGACATTTAGCAGCTTTTAATGATGATCTGTTGCATGCGATCGTCGACCAATATTATGAAATCTAATTAACACGCATAAGACCTCCACTACCATGAATTTAATGATTTAGGCCCCTATGATTCACGATTTAATAGCTATTAAGACCACAGTAATCACTAACCGCCTGACATAGGCAGCCTTAAAGCCATGTTCGTAGTTTCTCATTTGGCCTTCGAATATGATTTCCCAGAATATAATTTTTGCCCGATTCTTTGTGTGTGCTGCATGCTCATTTGTGATTCTCCCCCTCCTAATATTGTCTGTAAAATGCTTGATTTTTAGCCGCACAATCCAAAGCTAAATCTTCAGTCGAGGCTGTCTCCTCAAGATTCCAGCGTCACCACAATCCTGATTGTCGCCGCGATCTCGGAGTCGTTGTTACGCCCATGCCCAGGAAAACCAATAATCATTCCACAGTACGCTATCTTCAGCATGTTTCTCGACGTCTGTAAACTTTCTGACTTGTGACTCCTTGACTCGTTCTTGCCCTGCTCCGTTTTGTTTATACGTCGACAGTAGCTATATCTTTACGTATGCCATTCCTTCGTTTAATACATATTTACTTTGCTTGCCATTTTGTTATTTATAGCAACGGTTGCATGCGAGCAGAGTAAGAAAAGTGCGTTATTTCGTAGCTTTGCATCACATTTTTGCCAGAAGTGGCGTTTTTATATCCACTTTAATAAATACGCGGGAGCTCCTGGCCTCAATATTGTTCTGAGCTTGTGGAGAAGGGTTGTCTCATGGATGAGTATTTAAAAGAGCAACCGAAATGGGCTTATCCTTGTATCCTTATGACGGTGCCGCAAAACTGGAGTATTTGCTGTCTGTTTTTTCGAGAAATAAACTCATTCTATCATTGGCACACTATCATATCACCTCCAAATGTACTTGCTGGACCCAACCTTTACTTTTTGATGAGAAAACTGAGAGCATATATGATAGCATGGCATCACACGGAAAACGTAATATAATGCGTAGGGTTTACAAAAAGTGACAAAGCACGCAAGGCATATTTGACTACCAGTGCGTCAGCTTAGAGCAAGGAACACGCAAGAACCGATTTTTATCTTTGACGAGGCATAATGGGGTCAATTACTTGCCTAACAATGTCAAACTAGTACCAATCGCGAGACCTCGCTATGGTCAATCTTCTGGTATTTTCCGCTAGGCTTTACGTCTCTTACTTTGGAAATGCCTGAGGGTCACTTCGCCCCCCCCCCCATCGGTAGTCCGTGTTTTGAAACGCATCGAATCAAGGCGAGAGCCAAGCGTTTTCATTATGGTTGAACTGACACATGATGGGTATACGCTTTTGAACATGATATGCATGCTCGGAGTGGTTGGCAACTTGCCAATCATCGATCCAGTTCCCCACTTAAGCTCCACCTACAAGCAAAAGCTTACGGTGGCTCTAGGCTAAGGCGATGCGGGCTTTCCCAACCACTTCATCCACTTCCAGCAGATACGGTATAATATCCACCGATACCCCTTTTGTGCTATGCTGATCGGAATTAGTGCGCCGGCGGCGGTCGCATAACACTTCTAGAGGCCGTTTACCTTGGCAACGCTGACATAATAAGCTGACCCGGCGGCAGCCTGAGCAGCCGAGGCAGCTGAACAGCTGACCCGGCCGGTCGGCCGCGAAGCATTAAATCTTCAGCACCCGGCGGCAGTTAACAAAATGGACAAAACACGCAGAGAAAATCCTGGTGAGTTGTATTCCTATCAAAGTTAGGCCATTCCGCACAACAAATGTAAATGGATGGCGCTAGACGAGGCGCAAAACATGTGAGGCCTGACAGGCCACGATTCATGTAGCAAAAAACAACAACAGGTTTTATCGGCATGGGAAGCCTTTTAGAAGTATATGAGGGGTTGTTTAAAGGTATGTACACATTATCCCTCGCCCTGATAGTGGGATCAATGCGACCCTCCCCCTCCCCGTCATGTTTTTTTTAGAAGCTTTCTCTAGCATGTTTTAAAATCATGCCCAAACCTATGGGGCATTTGTTGCACGTGTTTTGATACCAAAAACGTGTCCCCGACCTTTCTGGCCTCTGAGTACCGACGGTTTTTAGGAACACTTTAGGACGATCCACGGCCGGCGATGGTGGCCAGCGGCAACCGACGAATCCGCCGGCGTCGCGGCAGACAAACACTGCAACATTTCTGGAGTCCTACATCAAAGATGCTCGCCTAAGTTCGCTTTGACATACTGATATCGCTGATGGGACATTACAATGCGACGTGCGCAAAATCATTTTGGCATGGGCCCCTTTGAACGGTTTTTTTTGGGTCTTCGGTGTCGCGAACTGCCCCCAATATTTTAAGGTAGTGCTGAAATCGTCGTTTTGGGTACAACATACAGCTGCTTAATTTCATTGCTTTGCTTTCTTGCATGAAATACCTAGAATGCCAATGAAATCCTTGTAGTCCAGGACTGACCATACAATTATTCAATATTACTTTTAACTTTCGCTCACAGGCTAAGTACAAGCGACTCCAGTTTATAGCTTATTACGGGTGTTGATTTTGAATCGGGCAAAAAAACCCCCGCTCAATCGATGGGGTAGGTATATTGGGACTCCAGTGACGTGACCAATCCCAATATGGATTCAACCACCTACTCCGTGTAATTTTCGGGTGTCTGTTTCAACCTAGGCGGCCATGTCACTCTCGCGGCCAGAATGAAATGCCCAAAAAGATAGATATAGCGATAGCAGAAGTATATAGAATTGCAGCGATGTGTGATGAGCTAGAACGGGATAGGACCGCTGTAGGTGTGGGGGCGCCCCCTGTCTCCCCCCCCCCTGTGTGGTGATTTTGAGCAGGGGAATTTTCAAGGGTACGGAGGCATACTCTGCCCACACTTAAATGCTAAAAATGCCATCGGCTCAGCCACATTGCCTTGATAGGTGTTGATTCAGATCATTACGCAATCCTTAGAGATGTCGACAACGTTTGCTAATGTAAATAGCTAGATACGTTTCGTGAAGGATGATGGGCTCTGATATGCTGATAATTTTTTGAACGCCTTGTCAATATATCAAAGAGAAATAAAAAACTTTAATGCGAAGGAGCATGCCCAGGTGATCATACCATGGGCAGCTTACTTAAGAACTACCCAACATAACACCGTATAGATTTAACAGCATAATTTTTGGCAGGTAACGCTAGGAACAGCAGCCCTGTCAGTAGTTCTTTTCTGCAGAAATAAAACAAATTATGTTTTGTACCAAACGACCAGTTTCTGATTTTTGTTTGTTTGCTCCGCGGGTATTTCTTATCTTCGGAATGAAAACCATCATCAGCTGACGCGGGATTTTTTTTTCAATCGCGCCGCAAAGAATTCCCCTGGACTTTAAGGCCCACGTGGACCGGAAAACTGACCTTTTATGGCAGACGGCATCCATACTACCCCTGACTATCTGATGGCTCTGCAGAAAGCAGGTGCAACCCACCGACGTCGCAGCAAACGACTAGCACACCGCACAGCTCATAACTATAGCCACTCAACCAAGGTGAATACGTATTACACGCTTGTGGATTCACGGTTTCCGAGAATGATTGGACCATGTAATCAGCTATTTCTCTACATGAATGTCTCTACATCTCTACAGGAGTTTCTCTACATGAATATCTGTTACCTGTGATGTGCAGCGTCTTTGGTATCGCAAAAGTGGCGTATGCATAACCGCATTTCATAACATGTGCGTTGTTGTGAAGGTAGAAACATAGCTGTCGCCATCGGAGCCCTATGATGCATTCACTGAGGCTAAATGGCGTCGCCTGTCTCTCACTCTGCCAAGAAAGTCTGACACCGTGGGAGGATGGAACCTCGTACATCTGGTCGAGTGCGTAGTGTTGTGGACCCATTTGGTTCCATTTTCAGTTTACTGAGCACCCTCGTCCTCCAGGGAATAACCAGAGCTAAAAAAAAGACAGTTTTCGCTGAATGATAACACTGTCCTCTGCCAGTCATGCTATATACAAAACATATGCATGTTAAGTACGAAAAACAAACAACAAATATCCACTTTTTAGACACCACGTTTTGCTCATGCGGTTATGCATGATACGAAGAATGACAGGCACACTATAACATTTTTGCAGAAATAAGCACCGGCCAGAAGCTTTTGGCAAACATGCATGGGCAGAATTTGGTTGCATTGATCAGCATTTGTAAGCAAAATGCACAACCGCCAGTACTGCTACTGCGGTTTTCACACAGTAACAAACGAACTGTGCCTCCATTAGAGGCAGAAAACAAAACAATAGAGGAATTTTGGCACAGCATTGAATGCACTCTTTGTTACGGAGCCAGCGAAGCGGATACTCAAGATTATATGTCATTTGCCACTTAAAGAAATACACCATCCAGGAACCATGCAGGAAGTTATTGCAACGGAAATTGGCCATTTCAATAGTCCTTATATACAGCTAAAAAGGCTAATCGCCTTGTAAGGAAAAAATATAAGAACTCAGGCTGCTCAGTTAATAATTTACACAAGCACATCAAACATAAAAGACCTGGCGGGCACTGACCCCAACTAGACCATAAG